CTCTCTCTCTCTCTCTCTCTCTCTCTCTCTCTCTCTCTCTCTCTCGCACACACAAACACACACACACACACACAGAGGTCCCTCACACACCACATCTCGCAGCCACATTCCTAACCCTGCTTTTCAGCTCGGTTCTCAGGGGGGGAGAGAAAGAGCGTATTCTGTGATCCCAAATAAAGAATGATCGGTCGGTAGGAAAATTGGGTGGGGGATTTTCCTGCAGAATTTTTTTGGGGGGATTTTCCCAGACAGACAGAGACCCTGGAAAAATCCCCCCAAAAAAGTCTTCAGGAAAATTCCCCACCCCGATTTTCCTACCGACCGATCATTCTTTATTTGGGATTGCAGGATACCGTCTCCAGCTCCGTTCTCAGGGGGAGAGAGAGAGAGAGAGAGAGAGAGAGGGAGAGAGACTTTTGGCTTCATGCAAGGAAAGCAGCAGAAGCAGCAGAAGTCTTTCTTTCTCTTCCCCCAAACTCCACCAGGAATGAGTGAGACTTGTTGCGCCAGCACAGCCTCTTGGAGCAGGAGGCCTTGCAGGATCCCAAAGACTCATTTCTGGTGGAGTTTGGGGGGAGATAAAGAAAGACTTTTGCTGCTTTCCTTGCGTGCAGCCAAAAGCAGAAGAAGAAAGAAGTGGAAAGAAGCAGCCTGGTGGCCAGGCCAGGCGTGTGGGGCCTGTGGGGTAAGTTCCCCCCCTCTGCCCTTTCCCCCCCTCCCCTCACTACCTCGTGAGTTCGCAATGCAAGTGACGCCAGCCTTGTGTTCCCACGGGCCATGTGGGTGGCGCAACCTTGGGATCCCACACAGCCTGGATTAATTGCTTTGGGGGGACATTTCTCTGCGGACCACCCAAATTTTCTCACGGACCACCAGTGGGATGCGGCCCACCAATTGGCAACCACTGTTCTAGTCCAATCCCCCCCACCCACCCAAGCCGGAGACCCTATACCATTTCAGACAAGGACCTTCTGATAAGTAGAGTCAATGGGGAAGCCAGATTCACTTAACAACTGTGTTACTAATTTAACAACTTCAGTGATTCACTCAGCAAATGTGGCGAGAAAAATGGATGCCCCCCAAATGAGTGGCCTCATAAAATGGGGGCAAAAACTGACTTAACAGATTTCTCACTTAGCAACATACATTTTGGACTGAATGATTGAAGATGACCTGCATTTGCTATCAGGGATTTTTTTTTTTCTGGAAAACCGGAAGTAAATGCCAGTTTACTTTCCGAATAAAATCTCGATCATGTGACTGCAGGAAGTTGTAAACAGCTGTAAATTTGGGCTGGTTGTCTAGTGTCCAAAATACAATCACATGATCTCGGGTGGGTTGAATTCAGGGCATAAATACATTTTTTTAGGTTTGTCATAATTTTGAGCGCTGCCTAAGCATCTGCAATTGCATCATCCCCTTTTAAGATTTAATTACTTTTTCTGGAAAACCTAATGACAAATTCCCCATAATTCTGTCCAAAAGGAGCTGGAACCTACTTTGATCGTCTTAACTTTGAATTCGATGGTCCCGATCCGGCCAAATTCAGCAGCTTCGTAAATGGCATTCACAGCTTTTACATAGCTGGCAATCTATGAAAAAAGGAATTATCCAGTGAGGTCTCTTGGCTGGGTTCACACAACGCTTGTATTCCTAGGGTCCTATAAGACATCAGATTCTGTTACTATAGCTCAGTGTTTCTCAACCATGGCCACTTTAAGAGGTATGGACTTCAAGTCCCAGAATTCCTCAGTCAGCCCTTCACAGATTTATGATGTGTGAACTTCAACTCCCAGAATTCCTCTGTCAGCCCTTGACAGATTTATGAAGCGTCGACTTCAACTCCCAGAATTCCTCAACCTTTGGCAATTTTATGAGGCAAAGATTTCAACTCCCAGAATTCCTCAGTCAACCCTTGATAGCTTTATGATGTGTGGACTTCAACTCCCAGAATTCCTCAACCCTTGGCAACTTTATGAGGCATGGACTTCAACTCCCAGAATTCCTCAATCAATCCTTGGCAGTTTTATGATGTGTGGACTTCAACTCCCAGAATTCCTCAGTCAGCCCTTGATAGATTCATGAAGCTTTGACTTCAACTCCCAGAATTCCTCAGTCAGCCCTTGACAGATTCATGAAGCTTTGACTTCAACTCCCAGAATTCCTCAGCAAGCCATGTCGGCTGGCGAATTCTGGGAGTTGAAGTCCACCCATCTGGAAATGGCCAAGTTTGAGAAATGCCACTAACTACCCAATCCCATTTAGCCCAGCTTAGCGTCATGTATGGATGCAACTACAGAATTAGCCTATCCTTCTTCAGAAAGTGAGAGATAGGGATGACAGGAAAGGGGCAAGTGTGCCCAGGAAAAGGGTGACCTTTGAAAACTCCCCCTCCCACCTCCCGTTGTTCACCAAAGGCGGGCCTAGTCAAAGAAGTATACCTGTTCTAGCTCCACCTCCTTTTATCTTGACCCTCCCCTTCATCCTTTTTTTTTTTTTAAAGAAGATTTGCACACCTGGGCGATCACAGCTTCCACGGAGCCAAACCGTTGATAGAACAGGTGATCGGCTTGAAAATGAAGCAGGCAGGACGTCTTTGAATAATTCAAACTCCTCCGGGGGCGATGGGTGTAGTTTGCCTGTGGAGAGAGAGACCATGAAGTAGGTGGGGGTGAGAGATGGAATAACTTATACTGGCAGTCCTTGACTTACAACAGTGACCATTCAAAGTTATGACGTCACTGAAAAAGACGTCTGACCATTTTCGGCACTTACGACCGTTTTGCAAACCTCCCCACAACAGTCACGTGCTCAAAATTCAGACTCTGGGCAACTGACTCACCTTTATGACGGTCGCAAAGTCCTGAGGTCATGGGATCCCCTTTTGCGACCTTCGGATGGAGCCCAATTCCCTTAAAAACCGCGTGACTAATTGACCAACTGCAGTGATTCCCTTAACCGCTGTGGCGAGAAAAGATGTAAAATGGGGCCAAACTCACCAGTGGTGGGATTCAAAGTTTTATTACCGGTTCTATGGGCGTGGCTAGGTGGGCATGGCCATGTGACTGGATGGGTGTGGCTTTTTTCCTTTTTTTGCAGTACCCCTCCTCCATTTTTGGGGCCTTCTGGGCCTCAATACTGGACAAAGCAGTAAGACAGTGAGGGGAATCCGGGCATAGCTGATCATACAAACAGCTGATTGTCGGAAGGGGGAGAAAAAAAAAGAAATACCTTAAGGAGTGACTGGGCAGGGAAGAACGCAGTCAGCGATGTCGGGTGATAAGGACTGACTGGGCAGGGAGGGGAGGGAGGGGAGGGAGGGGCGGAGAGGGGGAGGGCAGGCGGGGCACGATTTGCTGGTTCTCCGAACTGTGCAGAATCGTAACAACCGGTTCTATAGAACCGGTCTGAACAGGTAGAATCCCACCCCTGACCGTACGCCACCAGACTTGAAATTTTAGGCTTAGATAACTATACCGCCTTCGGTCTGACCTAAGCGTAGTACATAAAATTATATATTGCGATGTCCTACCTGTCAATGAATACTTCAGCTTCAACCACAACAATACAAGAGCACACAACAGATACAAACTCAAGGTTAATCGCACCAAACTTGATTGAGGGAAATACGACTTCAGCAGCAGAGTGGTCAACGTCTGGAATATTCTACCTGACTCTGTGGTTTCTTCCCCAAACCCCAAAAACTTTAACCTTAGACTGTCTACTATTGACCTCACCCCTTTCTTAAGAGGTCTGTAAGGGGCATGCATAAGCGCACCAACGTGCCTACCGTCCCAGTCCTACTGTTCCCTTTTATTCATATCCATTTCACGCATTCATAATGATGTTTATACTTATATTTGTTATCTAATACATACTTGACAAACAAACAAAATTTTAAAAAGTCACTTTTTTCAGTGATATTGTACCTTCAGTCACTAAATGAACTGTTGTTAAGTCGAGCACTCCCTGTATTTGGTTAGCAATTTAGTGGCGTGGAAAACTCATTGGTTTTATCACAATGAATGCTTCTTTTTTTTCTCTTTTTTTTTACCTTTGCTGTCAGCTGCCGTTGGAAATCTTGCAGTTGTTGGTGCAGTTTCTGAGCCAGAGATGCGGATTTGGAGTCGTGCAGAAGTTCATAATCTACAAGACACACAATCATGATGTTCTGTCCTCGCTGCACACATTTATCCTGTGTGCAGCTTGACATGGAAGCTAAAATAAAGCAGATCCAGGTGTTTTGTTAAAGGAAGAGGACAGGTTTAGCTGCATGTCAAGCTGGACGCAGGATAAAGCGTAGGGAGGAAACAGAACACGTGGAAAATAGCCGTGCTGGGTATGTGGGATGTGGATTTTTGTCCTCGGATAAACCTGCATCACAGATTAAGGTGGGTGGCCTCGGAGTGCGAAGCCAGCAAGATTTATATTTCAAGCAAAAAAAAAAAACAATCTTCCTAAAGGCACAGGAGCCAGAGGGGTTAGCTCAGATCAGTGGACATTTAAAACAAACAAGGATCGTTCCAAAGTGAAGACAAAGGAAGATGAAAAACAAGACGGAGAATTAATTAAACTCATCTAACTGCCAAGAATTTCCTTTGTCTTGGGATGGAAATATTTGGTCCGAAAATGAAAGTGTTGATAGGTAGTGGTCAAAGGGAATATCAATACAGTTCCATTCTCCACCTGTCTTTTTGCTTTCCTTCCTTTCTTCCTTCACTCCTTCCTCATTCCCTTCTTTTTCACTCCCTTCTTCCCTCCCTCCCTCCCTCCCCTTCCTTCTTTCTTTTGTTCCTTCCCTCCCTCTCTCCCTTCCTTCCTTCCCTTCCTCACTCATTCCTTCCCTCCCCCTTTTCCCCTCCCTCCACTTCCTTCCTTCCCTCCCACTCTTCTTCCTTCCTTCCTCACTCACTCACTCCTTCCCTTCCCTTCCCTTCTTTCTTCCTTCTCTCCACTTCCTCCCTTAATCCCTTCCCCTTCTTCCCTCCCTCCCTCCCTCTTCCCTCCCTTCCGCCGCCCCCCTTCCTTCCTTCCTTGCTCCCTCCCTCCCTCCCTTTCCATCCCACCCTCCCAATTGAAGTCTTTATTTCCTAATGATTTCACAATCTCCCTTTTCTGCCTTGTTGAAATGATAATTTAATGGCCACTTTCGGAGGCTTTGAACATGGGAAGACCCTATTTGGCCCAAAGTCTTCCAGCTTCTCTTTCTCTCTTCTATTTGAAAGGAAATTTCAACTTGACTGGCCTGCTGAAGAAAATTGGTGATGGGAAGAGAATGGAGACTCAGCCAGAGGTGGTATTCAGCCAGTTCTGACCAGTTCTGGAGAACCGATAGCAGAACTTTTGAGTAGTTCGGAGAACCAGCAAATCCCACCTCTGACTGGCCCCACCAACCCCATCTATTCTCTGCCTACCAAGTCCCAGCTGATTGGCTGGGTCTTCTTTGGACAAGATAGATAGATGATCAATAGATAATGGACAAGATAGATAGATAAGATAGATAGATAGATAGATAGATAGATAGATAGATAGATAGATAGATAGA